ATGAGTTCCCTCCAAGGTTTGGCCACATTTTTCATATAGGAGTCGGCTCGCCATGCCAACCTAAAAACAAAAAGGTGAGAAGCGAGTAAGAAACAAAAATAGCATTCAAAAAAGGGAAGCACGCTACCAGTACCTTAGCCGCGTAGTGCAGGTTAAGGCTAATATCTGGGAGGGAGTCGAGTCATTAACAGTCGTGAATGTTTGCGAGGTGACACAATCCCTGGCCACCGCGGCCCCAACACCGATATGGTTAAGGAGTTGGTCGATCAGAGCATCAACAACAGCCTCAGTCGCTTTGCCCGTCTCCCCATCCTTTGGCTTGGACGAGCCAGGTATACTCCCCCATGGAGTAGTTGTTACACTTGCAAGGGCGGGCTTTTTCTTGGCCAAGCTTTTGGCTGCGCTTTTCTAAAGGCTGCCAGCCTGTGTGGTGACCTCTTTGCTCGAGCGCCTATGATGCTCAGTCACTTTCTTATTCCTTAAGCCATCTTGCTACTCAGGTGCTTTACCTTTTCTCGAGCCTTCAGTTGGCTCGAACGTCTTCTTTGCTAGCCCCTTAGGGGGCCTCGGTGGCACTCTTCTCACCAACCGCCTTAGAGGCAGTCGCAGATTTCTTCGCACTTAGGCCCTCCACAAGCTCGCTCCAACGCATTTTGTGTCGGCAGCATCCACGGGCTGTTTTGTCACCGGAGCAGCTGGTGCCTTCTGGGCAACCGTCAAGGTTGCCATTTTCTTCTTAAGGCTTTTCGGCCCACATTTCTACAAGGACAAAGGGAAACGAGTTAATGATCAATTTGCGCAGGAAATCAAATGCGAGCAAGCAACAATATACCTTTTTTTTCCAAAAACACTAAAAATCTGGCCTCGTCCTTACAAAAGTCATACGCCTTTAGGTGAGGAAGCATAAGAAGCTCGTGGACAATGCGTAAATTGTTAGGAAGATAGCTGAAACGATGCATCCTTTGCAAGCTCACCGCGGGGAGATAATTCTACTCAACGTTAACTGCAATAGAAAGTAATTCGGTTAGATAATAAAGCAAAGCTCGAAACTTGTCCTCACATACACTAGCGACCAAGGCCTTACTCGCTTCCAGAGCAAAGACACCGCTCGTCCCGGCTTCATAGAAGAAGAATTGGGAATCCCAATGTGGGACCTTCTTCAGGACATCGACCAACATGTTGAAACATACTTTCCTCGCCTTGGAAAGGTAGTACATCTGGTCTTGCCCCTTTTTGAGCCTGTACAAGTGGACAAACTCTTCGATGGACGGCTCGCCTAGCTCAGCAATCATGTTCACGATGTATACCCCAATAATGATTAAGTAAGAGTTGGCCATCAATTGGAGAGGAGCGATGTCGAATCACCTCAACACTTTGTCGATGAAAGGGTGTGGGGGAATGGATACCCCACACTTGAGGAAAGTTTCAAAAATTGCCACCCATCCAGCTGGAGGATTCTTTCAAGAATGTTCTCCCGGGACCATTAGGTTGAGCTGCGGCACGTAGGTCGCCCTTATGTGTTTAAGATCCCCGAGGGTGATCAAGGATTATGGCTCTTTTCGTAGCCTGTGAGCTAGAGATGACAGGGAATGAGCCAGTTGGATTGAAGCATGATCGAACTAGCCCACAGCGTCGCGATCTAAGCTTCTGGTGACAAACTCTTCAGATATCTCGGGGGACGCATCCCCTGGTGCTGCCGAGCCAACCAGTGAATCGAACATTCGATCTATTGTACTACTACTAGACGAGGACATGGTTGTAACTCGACTTTGGGTATTTGAAAAAAGAAGCGAACATGTGTTAGAGCTTGACCAACTCGGCGACCATTCCACATTTGCTTCTATCTCAGGCACCCGAAATAGCTCGCACAACACAATGAAATCACGCGACCTACTCAGGACATTGGCAGCCACCGCGATCTTTAAAACCTGAGACTGCTAGAAATACACCCGAAAAGCCTTACTAAAACCTTAAAACATCCAATGTGGCCACTACAGCAGCCACCCCTTAGCACAAAAGTCAGAAAAATGAGCAAGGAAGAGAAAGAAGTCTTATCAGAATAAAAAAGAGCGCTAATAACTCGTAAGAAAGACCATTGTGACGATGTAAGAGCAATGGCAAAGAAAAGCAAGAGGGTGGAAGAACTTTCAGAATGGCTGTTCTGACGATATTCGCCACCTTTTATAGTGATTTTTGCATGGAAGAGTTCAATCTCGACCATTGACTTACAACTGATCTTAGCCTTTCATTCATTGAGCAATCTTAGCTTTTAAACGTGGCCACGTGTCGACCATCCATGAGGTGCAACAAACCATTAGATTGATTACAATGATAACCGTCGTCGCACTACGCCTCAACTTCACCCGTGAACAGTTGTTATCGCCCACGCGCGATGAAACGTAGCTGACAAAAGCTGTCGCATTTAATGCGACACAACCACGCAAAAATTACATTTATGCCCTAACTTTTTGTATTCTGAGTTTTGATAGGTGGCACATGTAATAATGTCCAACTATGATGAACGTCGACCAGACGTAAGGTCGATTGTGGAAGCCTGATCGAGCATGCACTCAGAGACTCATTGTTGAAGTCGAGCTTGGCATAAAATCAAGTGATAAGTCTTCGAAACCCGAGACGAGCATCGAACACTAGGGGGCAGGTGTTATGTGGTTTCTCTGCCAAGCTCGGGTCAACATGAGGATGTAGCTCGATGCAGAATGATCTCGACAATTATGATTGATCGACCCAACATAAGCTCATCGAGCTGTAGCTCGACCCAGCACAAGCTAGTCGTGGACAATCTGAGGAATTAATCAATCAATCTCCAGATTACTTCAGATCCCAAATATAGCGGGAATGCCTGGATCAACGGTTGTCGTTGCACGATCATAGCGCCCAATCGCAAGGATATTAGAATTATGATTCAAACCATTTGTAATCCCCTTAATTTGGGTCTTCCTTTATGTAAATCTTGTATATAAACCCCTTAAAACGATGAGGAGGGGGATACGAATTTTGGATAAAAACTAAATTGTTATCTCTCACAACATATACAAAAAACACAGTGGACGTAGGTTGTTAACCTTGCCGAACCACTTTAAAAGTTCTCTTTGTCATTTACTTTATGGCGTTATCATTCACTCATCGCTGATTACTCGTAATCACGCACACATCCGTTCTGATCCCGACAAGGTCGATCAGATCCCACTAGTTGGTGTAGAATTCTGTATCAACAAGGGTGTTTTATAAACCCCTTAAAAATACATCATACTGGTTATGGGGGGTTTTGGAGCCAGTCAAAACTAGTACATAAAAAATCTGGCAAGTAATGGTTTTAGAACACTTCAAAACTAGTGGAAAAAAAAAAACTCCCAACAGACCCAAGTGTGAATAACTTTAGAAAAAAAATGTTTGTTGAGATTAAAAACACTTGAAAAGTATTAAAAAAACAATTAATAATATAAATAAATAAATAAATGATCTTAATATGTAGGAGTGAGCATGAAAATAGGTTTTACCTAGAACTGGTGAATACTTGAGCCCTATTCCGGGTAGGATCTGGAACCGCCCCTTACAGAGTAGGTTCTGATTCTGAAAAATAGGAATCGAGACCCCTCGGTTCTAGTTCTGGTTACAGTTTTGGTTCCTTCATTTCAGGAACCAAAATCGGAACCTGGAACCGAAATCGGAACCTGGAACCGAAATCGAAACCTGGAACCGAAATCGAAACCTGGAATAGGGTACCCTGCTAGGAACCAATAATAGGGTACCCTGCTAGGAACCAATAATAGGGTACCCTGCAAGGAATCAGTAACAGGGTACCTGTCAAGGAACCGGGGTTTATACAAACTAGTATACAACATTGGGGGGTTTTAACAAATTTTACCCCTAAACTAAACCTAAAAATGAAATCCCCAAATCAATTTTAATTTTTCATAGACTATATATCGAACATTTTGGATTTTAGATATGAAGAAGCTTTGAATAATTTTAATATATAGTCTTACACAATATATTAAAATTATTTGAAATATTGAAATTAATTAATAAGGAAAAAGTTATATTGTTATAGAATATTTAAACAAATGGGGGTGTATTTGTAAATTTTATAGATTTTTTTGTCATTTTGTAAAGTTACAGGGACCAATGCAATTATCCAAGGTACCTAGAACTGGAACCAGAACTTGTTTCACAGGTTTTGATTCCAGCAATTAAGGAACCAGAACCGGTCGGTTCTAGTTTCGGTTCCTAATTTCAAGAACCGACCAGTTCTGGTTTCCTCAAAAATCTTAGGGTACCTAGACCCGATCACCCCTATTAATATGTATTCTCCAAAGAAATATAATTAAAACCCCTTCATGTATCTTTACACATGTATTTATAAAATGGCAATAAAAATAAATAAGAAAGGATTTATTAATTTCACGTAACACTATTATTTTGCAAAAATGTCCTAGATTTTTTTTTTTTTTTTTTTTTTTTTGTTTTGAGCAGGAGTATCCATGCCCTTAGGGCTTTGAAGTTAAGGATCCGATGAACCCTCTGATCAACCTAATTAGCATACGAAGGAAACCAAAATCAAAACCTTTGCTGTTCTAGATCTTGTTACTCCTATTTTGTGATCCGTTTATGTCTTCTTCTGCTTGCATAAGAGAAAAGAGTATTTTTTTTTTAATTTATTTAGGGTACTTTTACATATTTATTTTGGGTAAAGGGAAAAATATTATAACCTAGGTCCTTGGTGAATTTTTGTCAATCTTGATTAGTTTTGAGGAGTGTTAGATTTCTTCACTATATATGAAAAGTAACCTTTCTATAATTCTATTCAATAATATGTAATACTGATTGTGAAATCAGTTAAAAAAGGCCAACATAAATTTTCTCAACGGCAACTACTTTATCAAAAACAATATAAATATATTTCCCATCCAAAAATGAATACTCAACGAGCATAATCTATGCAATAACACATTTGCATTTGCAGAAAGCAAGGCAATATATTTAAGCCAAAATCAAGTCAATTTCATAAGTAAAAAGATTACTAGCCATCCCCTAAATATAACCCACATCTTCAAAATCAGGTCTTTAATACGAAAACTTGTAGAAAATATGAAGTTGCAGAACTCAAAAACATTGCCATTTCCACTAGATACTAAAACAAATCTTCAACGGTTGGCCTTAGCAACTCTCTCGATTTCATCTTTCTTTTTGATAGCATAGCTGGAAATACAAGGGCATACAATCAGTTTTAACGCACCACAAAATATTTGACATACAGAAAAGAAAAACTAGTAATCTAGGCCTTGATTACCTGTTAGATGAACCCTTTGCAGCATTAATAAGTTCATCAGCAAGGCACTCTGCAATTGTCTTGATGTTCCTGAAAGCTGATTCACGAGCACCAGTAGTAAGAAGATAGATGGCCTGGTTTACACGTCTCAATGGAGAAATATCAACGGCCTGACGTCTAACAACACCAGCTGATCCAATTCTGGTAGCATCTTCACGGGGACCACTGTAGTAATAGATACAGAAGAAAAGAACATTAGATCAGTATAGTGGCAAGGACAAGCATCTAAAAGGGCAAACTGAGAAATTCACAAACACCCAATTATCCATACAAGAAATGCAATTCAGATAAACTACAAAACTGTAAACCCAACTTCCATACCTGTTGATGACAGCATCAACAATAACTTGGATTGGGTTCTGGTCAGTCAACAGGTGAATAATTTCCATGGCGTGCTTCACAATCCTAACAGCCATCAATTTCTTACCATTGTTTCTTCCGTGCATCATGAGAGAGTTTGTAAGCCTCTCCACGATTGGGCACTGGGCCTTCCTGAAACGCTTCACAGAGTACCTACCAGCAGTGTGTGGCACATAGGTGGCATGCTTGGCAGCTTGGACTCCAATGTAATCATTCAATGAAATGTCAACAACCTACATGGAAATATGAAACGGATACATTAATGAAAACCAATTGCTAGTTATAAAATCATACAGTCCAACTTACAACGAAAAGCCTGTAAATTCAAAAGTTGGTTCACATGTTAAGCAAGCAATTTCTTCACATTAATCCAACATGGTATCTGAATACAATGACTTCATTGCTAAACTATTATTGATAGAAGACCCAAAAGGATGCTGTCAATCTAACAAATTAAAAAACCTTGAATACTATAATGTCATAGTCATCCAGATATATCTAAATTCGACAACTAATCTTTACATTTACTCATAAAGCCAAGAAATTCATTAGCACATCGGTAATAATCAACATAATCTCGTGATTATTCTTAAAACATGAAGCTTCAAACAAACATTTGTTTATTTTCACAACTTTCATTTAACCTCTTTCACAGTCCTTCATACGTATTTGGTCAAAAACAAATCTTTCAATCAACAAGATCTAAGATGAGGCCAATAAGACTATTCAATCGAATAAAGTTCTTAAAAACATCACAAAAACAGATCGACAAAACCTACAATTCGAAATCACATTCCTCTTCACAACAAAACCTCGTGAAACCAAAACAGATCGACAAAACATCACAAAACAAAGCAAAACAAATTCTCTACAAATCGTAAATGAGAAGAGATTAATTTTGAAACCTGAACGTCGTCGAAGGTCCAGCGGTTGAAGAGCTTCACATCGTACTGAGCCTGATTTGAGTCCAGAGACGGTTGCACCGGTGCCACAGCGGTTGCTGCCATCTTACCTGTAAAAAAACGACACAAAACTCAGTCCAATGAGAGAGAAAGTGACGGAGATTTATATAGAGAAGGAGAGAAAGTGACAGAGAGGGAAAGACCTGTAGTCAGAGAGCTCCCGGGACGGAGTAAGAGGTAGAGAGAATTAGGATTTTTGAAGGTGCGGCTGCTCACAATGAAGCTCTCACGGGCGAGTGAAAAATGAAGGACTTAGGGTTTCGCCTTTTAAGAATCACTAGGGTTTGGGTATGATCGGGTGTGCTCGGGTACATGCGGACTATTTAGTGCTTTATTCATTGGTCGACCTGAGGATTTTACATAAACCTAGTTATATCAGGCATTGCCTTAATAAATGTTATTATAATTAATATTTTTCACTTAATAATTTTCAATAGTTTAATTTAACATATGGAACTTATAAATAGGAAATTATTTGTGATTACTATAATCAAGAGATTTTTCTATTTTAATTAAAATTAAGGAGATTATTTTTTATATACCCTAACTTTTATGTCAATTTTTACAAATGTTACAAATGATATTACAAATTACGTGATAATTTATTTTTTAAATAATATATACTATTAATATGAAATTATTTTATAAGAACATAATTGGGAGATTAACTAATAGCTGATTTGCACTTAAGATGTGTTTACTAGATTAAAAACAAAAAAGAATTAAAACAAAATTTTAAGGGAAAAATTAATAGAATTAAAAAAATTAAAAAAAAAAAAAAAAAAAGAAAAAATAAATAAAAAAAACAAATAAAACAAAAAAATAAAAAAAAAAACAAATAAATAGGTTTCACCTCAGGTCAATTATTAAAACCATGTCTAATAATTAATAGATGAGTTTATAGTAAGATTTAGCAATTTTTAGCTCAAAGTAAAACTATAAAAATCTTCATGTAATCATGTGACCATTTCGGAGTGTGAATAATTTAAAAAACAAAAAAAGGCTTTTTGAGATTAAAATTTATAAACACTCGAAAAATATTAAAAAAACAATTAATAATTTTAAAAAATAAATAAATGATCTTAATGTGTATTCTCCAAAGAAATATAATTAAAACCCCTTCATGTATCTGTATATGTATTTATAAAATGACAATAAAAATAAAAATAAATTAGAAGAGATTTCTTAATTTCACGTAACACTATTATTTTGCAAAATTGTCCTAGATGTCCATTTTTGTTTTTTTTTTTTTTTTTTTTCTTCCAGTGAGCAGAGTGGCCATGCCCTTGGGGCTTTGAAGTTAAAAACTTGATAACCGTTCTATTGATCACCCCAATTAGCAAGCTGTTCTAGATCTTGTTACTATTATTTTGTGATCCTTTTATGTCTTCTTCTACTTGCATAAGAGTATTATTTTTTTTTTTTTAATTTATTGTAACTTGTTTATTAATTTATTTAAGGTGCTTTTACATATTTATTTTGGGTAAAGGAAAAAACATTATAACCTAGGTCTTTGGTGGAATTTTGTCAATTTTGACAAGTTAACCTTTCTATTCAATAATATTACACTCATTGTGAAATCATTTAAATAAGGCCTACATAAATTTTCTCAACGGCAACTATTTTATCAAGAACAATATAAATATATTTCCCATCCAATAATGAATACTCAACAAGCATAATCTATGCAATAACAAATTTGCATTTGCAGAAAGCAAGGCAATATATTTAAGCCAAAATCAAGTCAATTTCATAAGATTACTAGTCGTCCAATAAATATAACCCACATCTTCAAAATCAGGTCTTTAATACGAAAACTTGTAGAAAATATTAAGTTGCAGAACTCAAAAACATTGCCATTTCCACTAGATACTAAAACAACAGTCACAACCCTAGTCGTCGCCAAAAATCTGTAAGAAAGATAGTATGACCAGAGTTGGACAGATGACCGAATCAACGCAACCTCCTAGCTTCTCTCTCGGACTCGAGCAGAGTGAGGATATCACCTTCTCTCACGGGTCCCTTCACGTTCCTCATGATGAACCGATTCTGATCATCCAAAAATTTGACTCTAACCTGAGTCACCTGCCCTCTTGAACCTGTACGTCCCATGACTTTCACCACCACAGCATGCTTAATTGCAGAATCCATTCTGGATACAAAAATGACAACAGTTTAGCAAAACAAAATCATTTAAAATCACCGCACAAAACACAACAAGTCAAACCAAAAAGTCATAAGCACAACTAAGATTAACAAACTAAACTACTTCCTACAATTCGGTAACCTAAACTCCTATTTCCGTATTTCTGTCGCCAAATTTGCAATCCACACAAAAGGAACTGCATCAAACTAATATCAGAAACCTAGAAATAATTTGACTATTCTAAGCACCTGATAGGCTCCCGTCAGATTAATAAGCAAAGCCAATTATAGTAAACACAAGTTTCTTGCATCTAGAAGATTCTACGGACAGGCCGCCAGCCCGAAATGTCTAGTTCTCTAAGCGAGTAGTCCAGAAGATCAGACTATAAAAAAAGGAGTCCCTTTCTCGACATATTCTTCAGAATAAGCTTTAAATCTCAAATTTCATTCCCTGCTTGTTTTTTTTTTTTTTTTTCCTTTCAGTGACATTTCTGGGCAGCCAAACAAATCATTCGCACATACAGATAACGTTTATATAAGTTTAATATTAGTAAATTTAATTACCAACACCAAAGCAATGTTTTCCTCCACAAAGAGAGACTAAAAACAAGAATATCAGCAGCCTATTTCTCCATGCATTCTTTTCAAAAAGCTTTAAATCTTAAAATTCATTCATTATTTTCTCAGCAGCCAAACAAACATTCACATATACAACTAAGTGCGTTTATAAGTCTAATACTAGTAAATTTAATTATCTTCAAACAGGCAAAATTCTCTCACGAACAGAAATTATAAACAAGGTTCTCAGCAGCCAAACAGATCTTAGACAATTAAATCACAGCAACATACAGTCTATATAACATATAAATTTAATTAAAATTAAAACAGGCAAATAAACGAGAAAATATGATAAACGACGCGTAAATCATGTTAAAACAGGCTCAAAACGACGGTGAACAAAAGCTATAGTGTGATGGAAAGAGAACAGCAGAGAAGGAACCCAAGGGGAGGGAAGCGAACCTGAGAGAAGAGGTGAGTAGACAGAAAGGCTGTAGAAGCGGCTGCTAATTCTTGTGCAGTTCTTCTTCCAATGGGGGAGAAAAACCCTAGATTGATGGCATTTTATATAGGCGGAGGAAGCTTAAATGACGGTTTTGCCCAGATGGTTGATTTGTTGGGTTTGGGTGTTTTGGTCAATTGAAAGAAGTTTTCATATAAGAAGCAGTTTAGATGTGGTGTGATTGTACTCATAGTTGATGGAAGTGTACGCTTTCAATATGGCTTTTTTAACCGTCGGATTATCTTACTTTTTCTTCTTTTAAGTTGAATGTTGACCCCATTCTTTTGGGCCTTTTGTTCTGGTCCGTTAACATTGTTGGGCAGATTTCTGTTTTTTGTTTTACAGAATTAAAAGGATCAAGATATCGATCCACCGTTGCAAACATAATTAAAACTATTAACATTTTTTTAGTACAAATTATTAAAAATACTTTAAAAAAAAATTAAAGTCCATTTATATATAATGTACCATTATGATTACAAGGGGTTAATTAAACGGTTAAGTCTATGATTTGCTCTTATAAGTTATGGTCATTACGTTTTCTAGAAATAGTAGGATTTGATGGCTTGGTTTTAAAATTTAAATACTTATAACCAGGGATGTTTCAGCCAGCTTGCGTGTTTCAACCAGAAGTTAGCGATCGAATAAAATATCAAATGGTCACCCTTATTACTAACCGAAGAAATTAAATTCAAAACCTTTTGAATGTATTATCTACTTTCAAATTATAGAGTTTGACGGTCCACTAATTTTGATCTCAATTAGTGAAAGCAAATATGAATTGGCAAGATTTTTCAATTATTAAAAACATTTATTTTTCTAAAAATATTGGATTTAAAGAAAAAATCGATATATATGTGATAGAAAAATGTTATGCTTACAACTAAGTCATACAATTAGATAAAAAACAAAAGACAGAGTAGTCATTTTACATGAATTTTATGCAATTTTTGTTTGATTGTATGACTCAATTGTAAGAGATATGTAATAAGTATCTTTATGTAGATGTATAATAATGTTTTGCTTATAACTGAGTCATACAATCAGGTAAAAATTACATATATGTAAAATGACTATTTTATCCTTTATTTTTTGTCTAGTTGTAATGTTATATAATTTAGTTGTATAATTCAGTTGTTAACATAACATTACTCGTAGATGTATACTGAATTCAAACACAAGGGAGTCATGTTAATTTTTTTAAACTAGAGGGGTGCTTTAGTAAAACAACTTAAACATAAAAAATCCAAAATTTTCTAACCACACGGTCCACACCGCTCTCTCCCTCCCTTCTCTTCCTCCCTCTGTCCACTTCATGGAGCTCTCACTCTCACACTCATCTTCTTTAACAATTTCAGCGGTAACTGCTCCCTGCAATACTTATTCAATCCAAACTAAGATACCCGTTAAGCCCAAGTGCAAATCCTTTGAGTTGCTGCTGAAATGCTCCGAGAAAGGGCCTTCACTTGGGCTGTACAGTAGCAGAATTGGCTCTAAACATGCACCAAAACGATCCCAGAGGCGTAACTCCATCTGGGTATGTTTTTTTTTCTTCTTATTGATGAATCAAGCTCGTGTTTTGCTTGTTTATGACTTTATGTTTGAGTTTCGGTGGTTGAAAAGAATTTTTTTCTGGTTTTGTTCTTGTTTTTGGTGTGTTCATTAACTTGCCTAGAGTGTTGGATTAATTATATTTATAAGTATTTTTTTAAGTTAGAATTGTTAATGTGTTGAAGTTCAGCTCACTGAGAGATAATGGTTAATATAAATGAGAATGCTAATTTACTTAACTAGCTTCAGTGGGAACTCCGGATGAGTCAAAGTCTTAGATGGGACGGGCGCGTCATCCATGCACGAAAAGTCGACTAAATAATTGCCTTGGATTGTTGGATTAATTTTATTATAAGTATATGTTTGAGGTAGAATTGTTCACGTGTTGAAGTTCTACTTACTGAGACAAAATTGTTATTGTTATAAATGAGAGGTGGCTGATTACAATTTCATTTTGTGGTCACCGACTTACCCTGACATGTTATCAAGGGTTGGAATGGTGAAATCAACATGTTGTATTTGATTTTTATTCACCTTGGTCTCTGATATTCCTTGGTCTATCTATGGCATTAATGTGAAAGTGGATGCTGCTAGGCCTCATCTGATATTGGAGCAGCTGGATCTGATCCAGTGCTGAACAAAGTGTCAGCTTTCAAAGATGCATGCTGGAGATTTCTTAGGCCCCATACTATACGTGGAACTGCTTTAGGATCAGTGTAAGTACTCAAGTTACAAATGCACTAGCAGTATTGGTAAATTAATTTTGGTTGGATGTTGCAGGATTACCTTATTTTTATGTTGACAGTGCTTTGGTAGGGAGAGCATTGATTGAAAACTCAAACCTAATTAAATGGTCACTGCTGTTGAAGGCATTCTCTGGTCTCGTGGCTCTAATTTGTGGGAATGGTTTTATAGTTGGCATCAATCAGATCTACGATGTTGGCATTGACAAGTATGTGGTGAAATAATATGTAAAATTCTTTGATTACTTGTAAAACTTGCATGAAACGACTTAAATGTAGACTTAAAATCAAATCTGGGTTTCTGAGCTTTTGAACTGGACTGCTCATATCTTGTGGTTAGGACTCAGCACATTGGATTCAGACGATTAGTGGTTGATATCCATCATTTAGGTCAGATGATTTATATCCATTCAGTGAAGCTAATTCTTAAAACCAACAAGTTCTAGATAAAGGTTTTCTCAATAACATCCCATGGTCTGAACATATTACATGGCCTAAGGTCTTAACTCATGGTCTGTATTTGTTTTATAATTCACTGTTTTAAAATATCATGTGGTACAGTGGTGCATTGTTTAAGTATGTTAAGTCGTCAAAGTAAACTTTGAAGTTAAACTTCTTATAGAAGTATGAGTAGTTGAATCCAAGATTCTGTCTATTATGTATTTGATTATTTATGATAAATGTGTGCAGCAAAAATATTTGTTTTCTCTATGCAGAGTAAACAAACCTTACTTACCAATAGCTGCTGGGGATCTTTCAGTGCAATCTGCATGGTCATTGGTGATATTTTTTGCTGTGACTGGTCTCTTGATTGTTGGATTAAACTTTGGCCCATTCATCACTTCCTTATACTCTCTTGGCCTTTTTCTGGGAACCATCTATTCTGTTCCTCCACTTAGAATGAAGAGATTTCCTGTGGCTGCATTTCTTATAATTGCAACGGTATGGTTTATTTTCACCTTCCTCACCTCCAAATCTCAGAAATTAATTTTATGGTAGTTTGCCTTGTCCTCCACGACCAATTGCAATTTGATGACCCACCACTTGAATGTTATTAAGTTACTATTTTACCTAAACAGCAAGGTTGATATATAAGAGTCTGACAATAATACATAAGCTCTGACTCACCCTTTCACATGCAAGGAATGTAGATTTAACACAACCGCCATCACTAACGCAGCTTATGAACATTGAAATAATGCATTGGGGGATTCAAACACAAGGCCACTTGGTTAACTTAGCTCTCATACCATATTAAGTTAACACTTGATGTAAGAGCTTAAGTCTATACAAAAGGGTCCAGCACAGTATTAGAAACCTATCAAATGTTTTGGTTTTGATTTGCATTTCCTTTGGAATGCCAGGTTGCTTCTAAAATTGAAATCAGAATCATAATTTCTGAACTGATAATAATGAAGAAAATGGGTTTTTAGTTCACATTATGAAATGATAATATGTCTAGTACAAGCCTAGAAAAAAATCTCTTAAGTGTTATAAGGACAATATAACGCCATTAAAAGCTGTGATAGATAAACTAGATGAATTGAATGTTGTATTTGTCTGTGTCTCTGACCGTCTGAAAGTTAGTTTTATTTGATTAAAGAATAGTTGTCAAACAAAAAAGGTTATCATCTTATGCTACTATTATAAATATTAAGAATCACTTTAGTTTGTGTAAGAATTGTTTAGTGATCTGTATAATTTTATTGCTCTTTTACATTGATTGTTACTGCCACATGTGTCTCTAGAAAGTTAGTTTGTTAGACAAGAAACTAACAAAATATAACTTCTTCAGGTAAGGGGCTTTCTTCTTAATTTTGGTGTATATTACGCCACAAGAGCTGCCCTTGGACTCTCATTTGAATGGAAGTAAGTTATCATTCATTACATATTGGTTCATAATTGATTGAATTAATGGTCATTGTTAACATTTGGCTCAATTAGGGTGTCATAGGCATTGTTTTAAAACCCGGACCAAATGGCAACCCGTTTTGCTACTTGGGTCACAGGTCAGCCGGTCCAACCGGTTGGATCGATGACGGCAGCTAGGGCTGTGCAAATCCGGATATCCGATCCGAATAGGGCATTTTTTGATCCGATCCGAATTTTTGGATTAAGCTATTTGTTGATCCGAATTCGATCTGAATTATGTGGATATCCGGTTATCCTGATATCCGATTATTCAGATCGGATAATCGGATATCCGAATTTTATCCGAATTTTAAGATTTCCTTATTAAAATTTAAAACCAAATAATTCAATCCTTCATTTCATTGGGCGTTCAATGAACTACAAACATAAGCAGTTAGAATGTGTCACATTTCATAAGAACAACATCAAAGTGAACAATAATAATAATAATCTAAGATGCAAACAGTTTCAATGAACTATAAACTACTACAAAGTACAAACATAAGCACTATTGCACTAAGCAGCACTGCAATCAGAAATGCTCCTGTGGCATTTACATCAAAAAGACAGCAAGAGAAAAACAAGGGGACTTTTCAAGTAAATGCTAGATTGACCATCAAGTCTTGTCCCTTGCCAGTTGCCACCCCACGTAGAAAGACCAAGGTGAAGGTGCTCCAATTCATCACTGCACAAAAGGAAAAATATTATGTCAAACAATGAAAAATAACAACAATAATTATTGCAAAGAGAAATCTTAGATGATACACCACCCTCCTCTGCCCACATCAACACAACAATTCAATTTCAGTAATTCACGACATTTTTCTCTTCAATACAACACTCTAAGCTACACATTTCCCTTGACTATATTTCAGTAGTGTAATAATTCAGGGTCAATAGCAATCACTGTAGTACAGTTTGAAAATAAGGTATGAATTAGTCTTCCAAGTTTGTTGAAATTCCCATTTAACAAAAGAATTAAACAAATATCAAATATGGGTTACGAATGGAACTAAAATTCTTGGAAATTAGAAGTTACCCTTAACTTGGTCTCTAATCAAACATTATATAGAACCAACACATAAAAAAAAAAGAAATTAGAAGTTACGCTTTCATGCTTTCACCTTTGTTTCCGAAAGAATCTTCTTCCTTTAGCCGACCCACACCCCACTCTTGAATCCGGTGATCAGAAATTGTCACCAGGAGGGCTTGTGGTGAGAGGAAGGAAATGATTGAAGGGTCGGGTTTCTATTCAATCTAAGAGTCAATTATCACAGATGCTCTACCAAACAAGGATTTGTCTGTGCGTATTCGAGCGAGAGAGACCGAGAGAGTCAGAGAGTTGAGCGAGAGAGACAGAGTGAGATTGAGATGAGATCTGGTGATTCACTGATTCTGGTCTGAGAGAGTGAAAGGCTTAAGGCTGTGCGTGTTTCAGGCTTTGAGCAAGAGAGACAGTGAGAGATTGAGACGACAGACGCGATATGGTCTGAAAGAGTGAAACTGTGACTCTGTGAGAGACTAAGAGACTGTGCGACTGACGATGACGACTGTGAGAGACTGAGAGGCTGTGCGACTGACGATGACGACTGTGAGAGACTGAGAGGCTGTGCGACTGACGATGACGACTGTGAGAGACTGAGAGGCTGTGCGACTGACGATGACAACTATGCGTGAGCGAGAGTGCGAGACTGCGTGTTCGTGTTCGATTCGAGCGAGAGAGATACTGAGTGTTTACTGTTTAGGGTTCGTGTTAGAGTCTGAGACAGAGAGTCAGAGTAGTGACTAGTGAGACTATTGTATTTTTCGTTGGAGACTTGGAGAGTTGGAGTATAGACACTTAGACAGACTGTTAGAGTGTTAGTGTCTTAGTGACTTAGTGTTAGCACTGTTAGGGACTTAGGGTGAATTTAATTTTGAAAACTTAAAACGACGTAGTTTAGCAAAATCCGGATCGGATACGGATATCCGGTTTTTTAATAATCCCGATCCGGTATCTGATCCGAATATTCGGATTTTGCTAAATTCCGATCCGTATCCGATCCGAATGTCCGGATATCCGAATTTTCCGGAGCGGAGCGGAGCGGATTAGGATCGGATATCGGATTTTTTTGCACAGCCCTAACGTCAGCGACAATTTTATTTTTTAAAAATTACATATTAATCCTTCAAATTTTAATATATTATAAAAATTCCCCTAAAAAAGTTCAAATTAGTCCCTAAAATTTTTATTTAGTTAAAAAATGCCCCAGAGAATTACCAATTAATCCCTAAACTTTTGACATATCTCTAAAACATCACTATAAAATTACAATTTAACCCTTATAGTTTTGAAATATTACAAAAATCCCCCTAAGACCTGAACCGGACCGCAGAAGCTGTCGGGTCCCGGTCCGGTCCGGTTTTTAAAACAGAGGTCATAGGTACCTGCTAGCATGCTGATTTTTCATAGTGACTATGATGGAAAAATAATCAACCAAACTTAAAATAATTAGTGCGGTACCCCCATAATTCCACTCCATCCACTTAAGCTGGTAGCCTGAGCCATTATTTAGAGTTTGACTTTGTTTACCTTGAAACCTTTCTGATCCCCACAAATTGATGCCACTGGCTAGGGGTCTTAGAGTATATCCTTCCATTTACATGAACAGGCTATATTTAACTTTTTATTGTGGAATATGTCTATACTTGTTCGAACTGTTAACAAGAATTGTAATTTTTTCTCTTCAATTTCTACCTGCAGTGCACCTGTGGCTTTTATTACAACATTTGTGACATTGTTCGCATTGGTCATTGCTGTTACAAAAGATCTTCCAGATGTAGAGGGAGATCGCAAGTGAGTTGCAGGCCTAATTATGTCAATGTATTTGATTTTATTCTACTTTTGAAGCTAGCTGATATCTTGTTTATGTTTACCTTCCTGTGTTTTATGCATTAGATTCCCCTTGAATGCTTAAAGCACCAACTTTGAATGATATATGAGATTCCAGTTTATAGCAATTTATCTTGATATTCCCTCAATAAGCCTTCAAATTCCTAATTTTGTTATCCATCTCTTGAATGTTTTGAACTAACCCTGTCCCCATTTTTTTTAGATTTGAGACACTTCTTATTTTTTCATAGTTGTTTACAGATTTCAAATATCAACTTTAGCAACAAAGCTTGGAGTTAGAAACATTGCATTCCTTGGTTCTGGACTTCTGCTGGTAAATTATATTGCTGCTATATTGGCAGCAATTTACACTCCTCAGGTGAAAGTTCTGCTCCTTTGAAGTTAGTCTTATTAAGTTATAAATGGTTTATGCATTGTTGGTACTTGATTTTAAGCTCATTTCCGTAACTCATGGAATCATTTGAATGTTTATAGTTCTCAACATTGATCTTTTTTGTATACATAGTTTCTGCAAATTTTGTGTTGATCTTATGCAAATCTTATGGAATCAGCAGAGTGTTAAGTGTATTTCCAGACATTTTTTCTTCTATGGAGATTAGTTCTATAACTAAGTATACTTTTACTTGTTTTCAGGCTTTCAGGCGTAACTTAATGATACCTGCACATTTAATCTTGGCATCATGCTTGATTTTCCAGGTGTGTCTCTAATTAACACCATGATCAGGTCTATATTTTATTTCTTTTGAAAGTCTTGCACAGATTACTCTCCATTTGATTCGCCTTTTTTTTTTTTGGGAGGGGAGGGGTAGAGGATGTATGTTAGGATAAATTCTTTTTCCTTGATATGCTTCTTGTTTTGTGTTTGTCAGTGTTTAAACAATAGTTGCTCGACATGGTTTTCTATACTATTTAACAGACGTTATTTTATTCATATCCTAGAACTTTTCCCTTTCTTTCAGTTAGATTATGGCAAGTTAGATTTGTATTTAGATTCTGATAAAACCCCAGGATTAACAAACAACAAGCAACCAATAAATCAGACAATGCACCAATTCTCAAGTGTTTTCACAAGACAGATTTGGATGGATTTAATCAGATTGATATTAAGAACTGAAAATGGTAAATAACAGAGCAATATTCCAGGAAATGAAATGAAAGAAAATAACAGCAGATAAGACCCAGCAGTTCGAGGAGCTAGGGACCTCCTTGATTCACACTTTACAAATCCTGACTTTTCAACCAAAGGCTCTCCCTTTTATACATGAATCAGCTAACAACTTCTATTCCCTTCTAACTAATTGGTTCACACGTCACATGCCTCCAGCTTCTCTCCACTCAAGCAGGTTTCTTCAATTCTGTTAGCCTCTCTCCACTAACGCATGCTTCTCCAATTCCAACCAAATCTGTTAGTGGCTTTTTACCCTTGTGCCCTCTGTGCTGGTAAACCTTCTTGATGGGTGGTCTATCAATACCCCTACCTTGAAGAGTCACTTTGTCCTCAAGGTGAAACTGAGGAAATTGAAGAGTGATGGTATCGGCCAACTCCCAGGTTGCTTCAAATGGGGCTAAATCCTTCCACTTAATAAGGACTTCCTGAGAGCCATTCACTAGTGTGCGGACGGCCAAGACAGATTCTGATTGAACCTGCAGCTCCATATCCTCCGTGAGGCAGGGTGGTAGAGGTTGGATAGGAACCGAGCTGTGCAGATTGCTCTTGAGCTGAGATACGTGAAAAACAGGATGAATTTTGGCTGTTGAAGGCAGCTCCAGTTTATATGCAACCTGTCCAATTTTTTCCAAAATGGGAAATGGTCCATAAAAACGAGGACTTAACTTTTCATTGAGTTTAGAAGTCAGGGACTTGAAGCGGCAAGGCTGAAGCTTCAAAAACACCTGGTCTCCTGGCTGAAAGTTAACATCCCGATGATGGGCATCTGCCTGTGATTTCATATGGTTCTGGGCATTGCTCAGGTTATTTTTCAGCTTGTCCAATATGGCGTTACGATCAGCCATCTGCTGATTGACTTCTTCAACCAGTGATGGGTAGTCGGTGAAGCGGAGAAGAGTGGGCGGATCGCGGCCGTAGAGTGCTTTGAAAGGTGTCATCTTGGCTGCACTATGAAAAGTAGAATTATACCAAAATTCGGCCGATGCTACCCACCGTGGCCATTGTTTAGGCTGGTTGTTGCAAAAACAACGAAGATAGGCTTCTAAACAACGGTTAACTACCTCCGTTTGGTCGTCGATTTGAGGATGGTACGCAGAATTGAATTTCAGCTTGGTACCTGCGGCCTTAAACAATTCTTGCCAAAATTGATTGACAAACACTCGGTCTCTGTCGGATACAATTGAGTTTGGAAACCCATGCAGTCGGACAACTTCCGAAACAAACAGATCAGCCACTTCCTTGGCCCGTATATGGGTGACATAAGGGAAGGAAGTGACCATACTTAGTTAATCGATCCACCACTACCAATATCTTGTCATATCCTTTGGCTTTGGGCAGCCCCCCAATAAAATCCATACTAATGTCTTCGAATACCTGGGTGGGAGTGGGTAAAGGTTGAAGAAGACCGGCAGGCTTAAGAGCTGAATGTTTATTCAGTTGACAGGTGGAACACTGTTGAACAAAAGTCTGAACATCTCTTTTAATACCCTCCCAAAAAACCAAATTCGTCACTTGTTTGTAAGTTCTAAAAAATCCAGAATGGCCGCCAATCAGACTGTTGTGGAATTCCTCCAACAACCGCGGAATAAATTTAGAAGATTTGGGAACCACCAACCTGTTTTTGTAGAGCAGACAGCCGCAGCATAGACTGTAATTTGGGTGACTCTGGGGATCGAAAAGCAAATCTTGGATGACAGTTCGAAGCTTCACATCTTGTTGTGCTTCAGCCGCCAGATCATCGAATTCTGAGAAGGTAACTATCGAGACAATAGTGAATTCCATGTCTTCTCTGCGGGAGAGGGCATCAGCCACGTGGTTTGAACTACCTGGTTGATACGCTATCTCAAACGTGTAACCGAGAATCTTAGAAATCCATTTTTGCTATTCAGGTGTTTTCACCCTCTGATCGGTCAAGAACTACAAACTGGGCTGGTCTGTTTTGGTAGTAAACTTTTGTCCGCTGAGGTAGTGACTCCATTTTTGAACTGCGAACACTATGGCCATTAACTCTCTTTCATATACTGATTTCTGCTTTGACTGATGGGAAAATGCTTTGTTGATGAATGCTATGGGACGTTGGTTCTGAAGTAAGACAGCTCCCAATCCTTGGCCCGATGCGTCAGTGTGGACTTCAAAAGAAATACTGAAATCAGGTACAGCCAGCACAGGAACGGATGACATGGTTTTTTTCAGGTTATCAAAGGCTTGTTGGGCTTGTTCATTCCACCCGAAGGCGTCTCTCTAAAGTAGTTTAGTCAATGGCTGAGCTATCGACCCATAATCTTTCACGAATCTACGGTAATACCATGTTAATCCCAAGAATCCCCGCAACCCTTTGATAGTCTGTGGAACAGGCCAAGATAGCATTGATTCCACTTTGGTTGGGTCTACCTCCACCCCATTCACAGAAATCAAATGTCCCAAATATTCTAACTTCAATTGACCAAATATACATTTTTTTCGGTTGACAACCGTCTCGTTGTCGGCCAAGATTTGGAAGGTGTATCGCAAGTGAGTGAGGTGGGCTTCTAGGTCGGGGTTGTAGACTAGGATGTCGTCAAAAAATACCAGTACAAACTTCCTTAAAATTGGTCTGAAAATGGTGTTCATCAGGGCCTGGAAAGTGGAGAGGGCGTTAGTCAACCAAACGGCATGACTAGGAATTCATAATGCCCCTCATGAGTTCGGAAAGTTGTTTTCGGCACATTCTCGGGCCTAAGTCTGATTTGATGATATCCGGATTTCAAATCCAGCTTAGAAAAACTGTCGCTCCAGCCAACTCATCAATTGAAGGTATGGGAAATTTGTTGGGTATGGTTATGTTGTTAAGGGTGTAGTAGTCAACACAAAATCGCTAGCTTCCATCTTTCTTTTTAACCAACAGCACCGGGCTTGCAAAAGGACTAGTATTCGGTTGGATTATTCCGGACACTAGCATTTCACCCTCCAGCCTTTCTATCTCATTCTTTTGAGTGTAGAAATATTTGTAGGGGTGTAGATTAGGGGGTTTGGAGGATTGTTGGAGGGTTATGGCATGGTCAGTTGGTCTCCTCGGTGGAAGACAAGGGTGTTGGTCAAACAGTTGGTGGAATTCTTTAAGTAATGCAGCAACTTTCGGCTCCATGGGTTCACTTTGCTCTTCAACTTTCCTCTCAATAGAACAAAACTTTACTACATACCCTGCACCCTCATTCTGTACTGTCTTGAGCATGGCTTTTAGAGAGACTACAGTCTTAACTAACGAAGGATCACTCGCAACACAATTCTCTTCCCGTTACTATCGAACGCCATGGTTAAATTTTTCCAGTTAGAGCACACATCTCCCAACGTGCTCAACCAAGATATCCCTAACACCACATCAGCTCCACCTAAATCGAAGGGGAAAAAATCCTGTGTCAACTCCACCTCCTGGATCCTCATACTCACATTTCTGCAAATTCCTTCTCCCCTGACGGTAAAACCATTTCCTACCATTACTGTGAATTGTTTCCCCTTCTCCAAGTTCAAGCCTAGCTTCCGTACGAACTCCTTTGAGATGAAGTTGTGGGATGCCCCACTATCAACCAACACAATCACTGTCTCATCTCCAATCATTCCCTGGATCTTCAAAGTTTTATCCATCGTCATACCCACAATCGAGTTCATATACAAAGCCAATGGATTACCTGTTGGGTTAGCGTCATTGTCGTTGTCAGAGCTAGGTTCTTCCTTTTCCGGCGAGTCTTCATCGGTTACTAAAAGGATCTGTAGCAATCTCGCCTTCCAACGGTGCGTGGGACTGTATTTTTCGTCATATTTGAAGCACAGTCCCTGTTCCCTCTTGCTCTGAATCTCGACGTCAGTCAATTGTTGGAAGCCTTCGCCGCAAAATCCCTGCATGGGTGTGTTAGCTGGCCTTTGTCGTTCATTTCCTTTGCTTGAACTCAGATCTGGAATGCGTGAAAAGGTGTTGGGAGACCATGCATTTGTGCGCCAGTTTTCTGGGTTGGGTGTGACCCGTTTGTATGGCTCCATTTTAGGTGGTTGGGTCTTAAAGGATTTGGGCCTATGTTTTTCCAAAACCCAATTTTTGTCCTCAACTCTGTGGACCTGCTCAATAAGTGAAAAGAGTGTATTTGGTTGGGCCAAACGCAGTTCAGCCCGAATTTCTTCTTTGAGTCCATTTAAAAAAATTCCCATTGGCAAATCTTCTCCTACCTCACGCAAGGGAGTTGAATGTTTTTCAAAATTTTCTCTGAATTCTGTTACTGTTCCAGTTTGTTTTAAGGCTACTAGTGCCTCATATGCTGATCCTTTGAAAGATGGACGAAATCTCGCAACCACGGCAGTTTTAAAAGCTTCCCATGAACTGATTGGTGCCTTTGATTCGACCCACTGATACCAATTCAGTGCCCGTCCCTCCATGCAAACCGCAACTGCCTCTACTTTTTCTTTCTCTGTGTAACGATTGACTGAGAAATAGCGATCCGCTCTGAAAGTCCATCCGTAGGGATCTTCTCCATTAAATATTGGTAATTCTGATTTTTTTCCCTTCTTTTCCTCCTTAAGGATCTCGGTTTCCTTACTCTGACTCATTCCACCATTGTCGTTACTATTGGAGTTTTCCCCTAGCTTTGACTTGCCCCGATCTCTACTATTTTGTGCTTCCTTCTCCTCTTTCAGTCTCATCCATTCCCTCACTTCCAGGATATACCCTTTGATGCTACCTAACTCCTCCTTGATCCCTCCCAACTCCTTCTCCATGTTACCCATTTCTCTTTCTAATCCCTCAACCTTTTGCTCTATTCTCGATTTAGGCATTACCCACACCAAGCTCTGATACCAGTTGATAAAACCCCAGGATTAACAAACAACAAGCAACCAATAAATTAGACAATGCACCAATTCTCAAGTGTTCTTACAAGACAGATTTGGGTGGATTTAATCAGATTGATATTAAGAGCTGAAAATGGTAAATAA